AAGGAAAAATTTTTATGAAGTTGAACTGTGTTTTTAAAAAATATATTTTTGCAGGTTTTGGCCCTGTTTAAGCAATCGTCCTCTGATGAAATTTACAGAAGTTGCCGGTCTCCCAAAAACTTACTCGATGAATGATCAGTGCAGAATTGAATTGGTGATGGGTATGTAATTATTTTTGTAGTCACTTGATAAACATAAAATTTTCTTGCCAATTGTCATGGCAAAGCTGTTTTTATTCTTGTTTTTGTTTGAGAAACTGTGAAATTGTCTTATGATAACTGCACCATCTAGAATTCTGCTAACATTATGGTCTATCTACATACAAAAAGCAAGGAATAATGTTAAAAGAATTCTAGATGATGCAGTTATCTAAACATTCTTCCTTGCTTGTTTATATGTAAAATACTCCTGATCGCTCGACAAATAGACATTTTCACAGTTTCACTAACAAGGAACAATCATAAGATAGCGCTATTTTATGAGGCAGAATTGCTCCTTTGGGAAGTATTCAGAAGATAGTTTTCCTAAAGTGACTCAAATTTTTAGGAGACATCAGAAGTAGGTGTCTAAGACAACCATTGGAGTGCATTCCATAAATAACTAAAGAATATTTAATTGAAATTCAGTACTTTACTTTTTATGATGATTTATTAGACATTGATTATATGAGGTTATATTTATACATTCTTTTTTTCTTTATGGCACACTGAAATCTAACTTGGAGTAAATTTGCTCCAACCATGTTGGACCTTGGCTTTGCATATTTTTTACTACATCATATAATTATTTCCTAATTCTTTTTCTTATAGGCATACTGTTTGCAAAACAATAGGCGTTACTGAAATCTGCAAATATTTATGGTGTGTCCATCATTCTAATACTGATCTCTGCAAGACCAAAAAGAATCCTCCTTTGGATGGAACTCAATGTGGATACGGACTGGTAATTATCACCAAAAAATGATTATTGATTACAAAAAAAAATGATATATTGATCACAAAAATAAATTTGTTAGTCATCCTCAATCTTAAACAATTCATTTGCCAAAACTGCATGAGTTGCCCAATTGTCTAGTTTTGGGTGATGGTCAGACCAACAATTTTGTTGATCAGTTCTTGGTAAAGACCTCTTTAGTTTTTCTTTCAGTTTATGATTTGGTAATTATCACCAAAAAAATAATTTATTGTTTCTCTTGAATTTATGTTTGACATTCTAAATCTTCAACAAATCCTTTGCCAAAACTGCATGAGTTGTCCAGGGTGTCTAATTTTAGGTGTGATGGTCAATCCAACATTTATTGATCAGTTTTTGGTGAAGACTTGTGCATTTTTTTTGTTTTTTTCCTCAGTGTTATTTGTTGGATTATTAATTTTTTTGCTAATGAATTATTTAATTTATGTTATGTTTCTGATTTTTTTTTCAGGGTTGTTACAAAGGCATCTGCACAACTTCACCAGAAGCTGCAGAAAACCAAAAGGCAAATCCAGTTGATGGTTTATGGGGCGATTGGAGCGACTGGAGCGAATGTTCTACAACCTGTGGTTGGGGCTTCAGTTACAGAATCAGATTATGCGATAATCCACCGTGAGTAAAAAATCATATTTTGGTAAATAGAAACATATTTTGGTAAAATAATTTTCTTCACCCTGTTATTTTTAAAACTGATACATCTCTTTTCAACTTATATTCATCCATTTGTTCAAATTTATTTTTTTATTCCGTGGCGTAACGGTTAAGCGCACTGTCTCGTGTGGACATGATCGTCAATTTGAACTCTAATCCAGGACAACATGATATCAAGTAGTTGTAATATCAATTTTTACTTAAAAATAAATGTAAAACCTCTCACACTATTCTTCCCTGAAATCTGCCCAAAGACTGTACTACATATTATGATTTTTAACTTCCCGTAGGGTAGTTATAGTAATGGGACAAAAATCTTAAATGAACATTTTCGCATTTCTCGACGTTTTAAAGGTTTCTGAACATTTTACTGGCATACCTCAGAAACTAAATGGATGTATGTGTGTGTGTGTTTTGTATGTCTGCATTTTTTCGTCTACGTTTTCGTGCGCACGGATCAACCGATTTGTATGGTTTAAAAACATTTGATCGCTATTAATAGGGAGATGTGCTGATCAGTTTTTGGCAAAGGCAGGTTCATCCGTTACGGAGATACGGAGCAAAGAATGCAAAAATACAAATCTAGTTTTGAGAGAACGAATTGTCGGATTTAAATGATCTAAAAAACATTTAATTTGTAATGATTGGGAGAAGAGGTGATTGATTTTTGGCAAAGGCAGATCCAGCGGCTTCGGAGATACAGAGCTAAATGTGCAGAAAATGGCAGTTTTTGAGTGAACTGAGCGTCCGATTTGAAGGATCTAAAAAACTTTCCGCTGGTATTGACAAAACAATTGCTTTTGAGGATAAAAAATTATTACACTTTTTTTTATTTTCCATAACATATTTTTGTATTTTTGATTAAAATTTAAAAAATTACCCAGGCTAAGCATAGTCTAAGCGCCACTCTGGTACAAACGTTTACCCAAGTGCGTTTAGATTTCTTTTCCAATTCTGTGAAAAATATTGAAACATGTGAAAATGCCGCCAAGCTAAGCACAGTATAGGTGAAAATGTCGCACAGAATTATTTGCAAATGTGTTTAGACTGTGACTATACGGGAGCCCTTTTTCAATTTTGTGTAAGGCAACTATTTTTCTGAAATTGAATTCTAAATGAAAAGACGATTGTTAATGTTCTGGAGATTAACTGAATTGATTTATGATTTACATTTGATTTGCTCAGATAAAATAAGATAGCAAAAATAATGAAAGTTGTAATAATATATTTGAAAACATATGAAATTTCTAGAATATTTCATTACGGTACGGAAAGTTCCAGCAATTTGCCTTAAGGCACGATGCCATACACCACTAGATATGGTTTTATTTGTAATTCTAGTCCCTCAAATGGTGGTAGGAATTGCATAGGCGAAGGTCAGGAATTCCAGAAATGTTACTTGGATCAGTGTCCAGAAATCGTAAATGCTAAAAATTCTAAGGACAAAAGACTCGAACAATGTTCTAATGTGCAAAAACAGCAAGGAGAAAATACGACTGCCCGGTGGCTTCCTTTTGAACCAGAGGAAGGTAATAATATTATCAGTAAACCATTGGGTTGCAATTAGAAAAATAAAAGTATTTTTTACTTGTTATCGGTTTCGTGTAATTTTTTAGATCATCTAAAGTGTTTACTGTTTTGCATAAACGATCAAACTGGTGAGGTTTACAATTTGGAAATAAGTGTTCTGGATGGTACTCCTTGCTCGTACTCTGAAGAAGATGATTTGTGTATTCAGGTAACGACTGTTTTATTTGTATAAGGTGGTCCTTAACATGGATTTAAATTTTCTTATCTTTATATTAAATTGGTATTTTTTCAAGGGAAGGTGTCGCACGTTTGGATGCGATGGAATTGCAAATTCTGGAAGAAAAAGAGACATTGCGGAGTTTGCGATGGAGATGGTTCTACATGCCATAATGTTACTAAAGATATTCCAGAGCAATGAGAAACGGTAAGTTATAAATTTATTACGTAACTAGTGGTGTATGGCAAGAAATATTCGAGAAATTTTAAATGTTTTTAAATATATTATTACAAATACTGTAACTTTCATTATTTTTGCTATCTGTTATATCTGATTGTGAGCAAATCAAATGTCATCAATCATAAATCAATTTATCTCCAGAACATTAACAATCGCCATTTCATTTCGAATTCAATTTCAGAAAAAAATAGTTGCCCAATTTACACAAAATTGAAAAAGTGCTCCCGCATAGTCACAGTCTAAACGCATTTGCAAATAATTCTGTGCGACTTTTTCACTTATACTGTGCTTAGCTTGGCGGCATTTTCACATTTTTCAATAGTTTTCTCACAAAAATTGGAAAAGTACATGAACAGTCTAAACGCACTTGGGTAAACATTTGTACCAGAGTGGCGCTTAGCCTGGGTAATTTTTTGGATTTTTAATCTAAAATTACAAAAATATTTTATGGAAAATAAAAACAGATGTAATAATTTATTATCCTCAAAAGCAATTGTTTTGTCAATACGAGCAGAAAGTTTTTTAGATCATTCAAATCGGACGCTTAGTTCACTCAAAAACTGCAATTTTTTGCACATCTATCTCCGTATCTTCGAAATGGCGGGACCTGTCTTTGCCAAAAACTAATCACCTCTTCTCCCAGTCATTACAAATTGAATGTTTTTTAGACCGATACTCCGTTCTCTCAAAAACTCAATTTGTATTTTCTGCACTCTTTGCCCCAAATCTCCGTAACGGCTGGACCTGCCTTTGCTAAAAACTAATCAGCACATCTTTCTATCAATCGGGATCGAATGCTTTTTAGACCATTCAAATCGGTTGATCCGTGCGCCCGAAAACGTGTACAAAATATGCGGACATACAAAACTCACACACACACACATCGATTTCTTCTGAGGTATGCCAAAATGTTCAGAAACCTTCAAAACGTCGAGAAATTAAAAAATTTTCATTTTCGATTTTTGGCCCATTACTATAACTACCCTAAGGTAAGTTAATAACATGATTATATAATTGCTTTTTATTGCAGAAAATACTCGAATTATAATCCTCCCAAAATACGTCCGAAACCTGGACTTGGAACTCACTTGTCTAGATGGTTGTGACTACATAAACCTGCCAGTTTTCCTAAAATACCAGGACCGCAACAAAAAATACTTTTACGCCACCAGGATTCAAACAAGATCTGGCACCAGGATTGAAAAAACCAGCCTGATTGCTGAAGGATCCAGATTTAGAAGTGAAAGATTCGAGAATGGACACGATTTGACTGTTACAAGCTCTGGACGGTTGTATTCGGAAGTTGTTCTGAGGTGGAGTAAGGATGGGGAAATTGTAAATTTTATTTGGTTTACAAAATATTTGTTTTGTTCTAGATTGGTGTTAAGGTCAAACCGATTAAGGAAGTTTTGTACTCGGTTTGGTATTCTTACAACATGGACAGTGTCGATCGACAACTGATTTTGAGATACAGGTGATAATATTTTATTTTTATCCAAAAAAAAATTCCTGGTACTGGTTTTTCATTTGCTCGCCAAGTCATTAACCATCTGCATTATTTTTCTATCAAATCTTTCCAAACCTTTTCTTCCAACCCAGTTTCCTTTTCTTCTGCTTATTTATCTCTTCTAGATGGTTTTGTTAGAGTCCATGTGTCTGATCACTAAAGAGCTATGCTCCAGTATAATATATTTTATTTTTGTTTTTTTTGCAGATGGGTTCTGAAATCCTGGTCAAAATGTTCTGCAACTTGCGGTGGTGGAATTTCTTATAGACCAGCAGTTTGTAGGGATATTGTTTTGGGAATAAGGGTGGAAAATGATAATTGCCCTTTGAATGCAAGGCCTAGGATAAGGAAAAAATCGTGCAACACCTTCAGGTATGTAAAATTAATAGATCGTCTTTACGTTTTAAGACTCTCTGAACGTTTCTTCCTCACAAAAAAACATTGATGTGTGTATGCGCGGTTACAATTTTACGTCCACGTTTTTAAGAGCACGGATCAACCGATTTGAATGATTCAAAAAATATTTTGCTATATATATAGTGTGAGGAAATGATTAGTTTTTGGGGAAAATAGAGAAAAATATTTTTGGTTTCAAAATTTGAAAAAATTCTTACAAAATTCCAAATAAATATGTTTTTTTAAAAAAATGATTTTAAATCTCTCTTATATATTTGAAATAAATAATTTTAGTAGAAGAAGTAATATCCTTTACAAGGTTGTAAGTCTATGCCTACCACGGACAGCCTGATATCAAGCAGAAGTGATATTCTTTACATGGTTGTAAGTTCTATACCTCCTACGGACAGCCTGGTATCCAGCAGTAGTGATATCATTTTTCTCGCTTTTAAATATACAATATATAGATATTTTTTTAATAAATAGGATTTGAGTCATGAAATTTTGTATGTTCTTTTTAAATTATTATTTAGTTGTGATTTTCACTGGATTCCTGGTCCATGGGAACATGTACAGAAACCTGTGGGCCTTTTGGCGTACAAAATCGAGAACTATTTTGTGTTAAAATTGACAACGACAGGTACAAGTTTAAAATAAATTTTTGCACTTTAAATATCTAATAATTTTTGTAAAATTTTAGTAATGAAATTTCCCCCTTGACTAAAATTGTGCCACCAAATTTATGCGCGGAGTCGATTTTGGAAAAAACTCGATCTTGTAATAATCAATCTTGTGAACGAAATTGGATTTTTCGAGACTGGTCGCAGGTAACAAATTTTTGAAGAAATATGAGATAAGGTCCTTGAGTTTTGTTTATGTACTTTTCATGTAAACATATGTAATGTAAATAATGTAAATTTTATTATCAATTTTTTTTAACAGTGTTCTACAACCTGTGGTCTAGGATTTGCAACTATGAATTTAATTTGTAATAAAACATTTGACAATGATTATTGTCCTGATCAGAAGGCTCCAGTTCGACCCTGTATTGGACCGGAATTGTGCCCGTTGCCCAAATTACAACCCTGCACTGGTAATAAAAAATTCATGTATATATATATATGTATATATATATATTATATATATATAATATAACAATTCATTTGTTCATTTATTTATAAGATATTTTTTCAGGTGATTCATCAAAATATTGTCAATTGAATTTATTAAAAAGATATTGTCTGATACCATCTTACAGAGAAGTTTGCTGCCACAGTTGTAGAGGTTTTCCTTTAGTTAATATACCAGATTAAAATTACTTTAAATTAAATTAAAATTAATTAACAAATAAAATTAAAATACACTTAGAGGGTGTATTTATAATTATATAATATATTACTAAATAAAAATTAATAAAAATAATTATTATGAAAAGGAAATATAAATTATTATTAAGGTTACAAAAAGAGAAAAATTTAACTAAACCCAAAATTAAGTATGTGTTACAGAATTATTTTTATTAAAATTATTAACTGATAACTATGATGAGCAAAATTTTGTTTATTAATGCAGAAGACTTTGGGAAAATAATTTCAGAGAAATAAAGAACCCGGTTCTTTTGCCGCCCGGGTCGATACACATGTAATAGAATAAGACAAAAAGGAAAAAGGTAAATGAAAGTATTTAAAAAAAAATGAAAACTATAAAAAATTCTTTTGGAAATTTTACAAAATAAATTAAAATTATTTTGTGAATACTTTAATTCAATTTTGATAATGTAATTAAACAAATTTGAAGGGTAGCTATTATTATTGAGGACAGAAGGAATTAAAGTCAAGTTTTTACAGGTGACAAAATGTTTGGTAGTTTTCATTTCTAGGGAAGACTATTAAAATATGTACACAAAATAAAAAAAATAATTTGTTTTAAAGAATTGAAGAATATTTTTATAATCAGGTGAGTAGTATTTTTTAATATTTTTAATTTTTTTATCTCGGGTCGACTTATCACGTTTAAATATCCGCAAATTTTCCAATCGTATGAATCATGATGTTACGTCTTCTAACTTTTAGTAAAACTTTTCCTTAAAAAATCATTCACATATTCTCACACTTTGTTTACAATGAAAGAAAATGCAATACGTGATTTTGTATTTACTTTTCGAATGCATATATACTTGCATTTTGCTGCAAAATGAATCAGAAGTGATTTTTAAGGCGGTGGTCTAAAACCGCATTTTAGAAAAAATTATAACAAATTTATAATAATATAAATGATTTATATCAAGATGAAGATCCATGTTTTAAGTTTTTTGTTGTGTTTTAGTTTTGGAGTTGTGAACTGTAAAGGTAAGTTGGATTTTTTCTGGAATTTTATTTAAATTATAAATGAAGTTTTTCTGAACTTTAATTTTGTTTTCTCGTTTTTACAAAACAAGCTTTAAGTTTCTGAATCGTTTGAGACCAAAATTTACATAAGTTTGTGTGTGCATATGAGCCAAATTTTGACTTTTTTTAACGTTTTTCCAAAAGTACTGCACCGATTTAGCCGCAATATATATATATATATATATATATATATATATATATATATATAAAGAGTACTGCTGTTACAAACTAAAGTAGATGCCTTTATTTTTCATATTTTGTTATCATTTTATTTATTTTTCAGCTCCTCCAATTAAGCAATGTGGACTTCACGAAGTTTTATTGAGTTGTGGATCAGATTGTATAGAAACATGCGAAACTGTCACAGGTAAGATAATAATTTACCTTAAAAATGTTAATTTTTTTTTGTTAATAATAATTACAAATAAGTTGCATTATTTAATTTTAGCAATAGCAATCGCTGCAAAATTTTAATCGCCAGACAATAAATAATTTTCAGTCAGTTTCAGAGTCAATATTGATTTTAAATTAATTTCTCAAATATTTTAACTATGCCTGATAATTAAACAAAGTAAATAATAATTTATTTAAATTTGATTAATTTTATTTATTTTAAATTTACAGGTGTTATGCCGCCACCAGT